ACTTCACAGCGGAACTCTCAATACTATTCCTGATTTATACTTCACAGCGGAACTCTCAATACTATTCCTCATTTATACTTCACAGCGAAACTCTCAATATTATTCCTCATTTATACTTCACAGCGGAACTCTCAATACTATTCCTCATTTATACTTCACAGCGGAACTCTCAATACTATTCCTCATTTATACTTCACAGCGGAATTCTCCAAATTCGGCAGTGCGATAAAAATTATTTTTTTAAACTTCTACAAACTGATAGTGTACAACGTGTCCTATAACCGCGAAGACACCAGTTGACCCCTGAACATTATGTTCCAAATAACCGCAAAAGACACCAGTTGACCCCTGAACATTATGTTTCAATAACCACAGAAGACATCAGTTGATCCATGAACATTATGTTTCAATAACGTCAGAAGACATCAGTTGACCCCTGAACATTATGTTCCAATACCTGCAGAAGACATCAACTGACCACTGAACATTATGTTCTAATAACCACAGAAGACACCAGCTGACACCTGAACATTATGTTCTAATAACCGCAGAGGACATCAATTGACCACTGAATATTATGTTTTTCGTCTTTGTTTTCTTGATGACCATACATAACGTTAGATTTCTGGACCCCTATGAACAGAAGACGGTATTTACATTTTCGTTCTTTAAGCTAGGCTGAAATTTCAAGGCACAGTTCTATTTAATGGCGGTATCATTCCTTAAATCAGGGAGGAACTTCTATTCAAACTTTAATCAATGTTTGTCGTCCACTTCGAGAGCTGACCATGACCTAATTTAAACTTGACATTATCAGTGATTGTGTTGTGAAGACTTGAAAAGCCCACAGATAGCGATCAATGAGACTCGACTTGATACAAGTAAAATAAATGGAAGTTCGTCTTGGTTTTAGAAGACAGGATTCGTACATTAATAACACGGGATCTGTTTGTGAATTCAAGAAAAATTAATAGCAGTCTTGGTTGTGTTGTACCCCAGACAACAAAGCAATCAGATTTGTAAAGTAAGACAATTTGATTAATGCTACTATCAATACAATATGTAGGAAAAATAACATCGAATTTTGTTTTTAACTTTTTTGTGCAGACCCAAATTAAATACAATGTCCAGTGCCTAACCAAACCATTTTTTTATCGAAATAATGAACAATAAAAGTTTTAAAATATTAAAAGTAGAAATGGAAAGATCGTCGAATAAAAAGGTTTTGACGTCCATACCATGAAGTTCTGTTAAATGAAGGCCATCTCTGTATCCAGATGTAGTTCTGTTCTGGGAGATGATATTAGCGCCATCTTTCGTGCCTTTTGCAAAACAGGATACTTGGAGAGTTTCTTTAAAGAGTTTTGTAACTAGCTTACCTGTTTGATGAGACATTCATTTGTTTAATATCATCCCAAGTGTGTTTGTAGAATGTAAGTAATCCAACCATGACAACTGCTTCGTAATCAGAAATGTATTTCTATTTTTTTATGTACAAGGAACGTTCCAAAGGAAACGCCTTAATATAGATTATACTTGAACTACGTTGTTTAGAGAAATTTGCGATGGTGGTTGTAAAGCATTCCAACAGCAGAACAAAAGATTCGTGCAAAATGTGTATAGTTATTTATCAAAAGCTATTATTTATTCTAATGACAAACTGACAGATTGTTCGCATGGAAGTTACTTGTGGAGGAGTGGATCAACAAACTTCCTACGCTATATAATAACTCTTAATGATTAGATATTATAATAATCGTTCATCAATTTCACTCCGGTGCTTCATGAATATAGTTCGTCATCAAGAAATACATCCCGGGACCTTGTTTGGTTGAAATATTTCCCATAAGACATTATTCGCTGTTTTCCCCGTGATATGCAGCTCTAATAAAACGGGGGATGTGCACGTGATTTCTGCACACTCAGGAAGAAAAGAAGACGTGTTCAGAAAGAAACAAGGTTTTATTTCCTGTACACAGCTTACATCCAGCACACTAACATCAGCGTTATGGAGCATATAGCCAACCAAACAACACTTTGAATAGTGTCATGGAGCGTATAGCTTACAGCTGTTATAACATAATCCTCAATATGAAATGTTAGGAATTATTCACTGTTCTAACAGGAAAAGAACGTTCTTCACACAATTTCACAAATTAAATAGACCTTGTATTAAAACCAGTTTTGTTGTGTGTTGTAAATATATATTAATTAATTTTGTTTTCAAAGACCAGAGAAATAAACACTGAGTGGGCCTATTAAGTTTGGTTCTTTGAGTTTTATATAAAGTGAAGATTAAAATCAGTTGCTATCTGTGAAGTAAACGGATTGTATGGCAAGAATTTAAAAACCACTACATTACTGATCAACATGAATTGTTTGATGGTCGACTATACAGGGACTGTAGAATCGTGACACACTAAATAAACATGAATTGTTTGATGATCGACTATACAGGGACTGTAGAATCGTTATAAACTAAACAAACATGAATTGCTTGATGGTCGACTATACAGGGACTGTAGAATCGTTATACACTAAATAAACATGAATTGTTTGATGATCGACTATACAGGGACTGTAGAATCGTTATACACTAAATAAACATGAATTGTTTGATGGTCGACTATACAGGGACTGTAGAATCGTTATACACTAAATAAACATGAATTGTTTGATGGTCGACTATACAGGGACTGTAGAATCGTTATACACTAAACAAACATGAATTGTTGATGGTCGACTATACAGGGACTGTAGAATCGTTATACACTAAATAAACATGAATTGATTGATGGTCGACTATACAGGGACTGGAGTATCGCTGCACAATAAACCAATCTTTCATAGAGGGAGCGTTTGGTTATTGTGTGTTTGCCAATTGGTGCTGTGCTCACCACCGGGATGAAACTTTGAATTTTAGCGTTATACATCTTCAAGCTTACCGCTGAGCCACTAGAGAGATAATGAAGTGTCACTGGCCGGATAACACGATAGGCCCAAGAGTTAGGTCTATAATTATCAATGTGAAATAAGAGAGTTTAATCGATAGTTAATTGCTATTTCTTTGCTTGTGTTGGTGTGATCGACCGGTTTTTATTGTACTTATGTTTCAAAATTAAATCAAGTTAAGTTTCAGTTTCTAGCTCCTATTGTTTACAAGCAAATTAGGAAGTACAAATAAGAGAGTATCCACGTGATCAGGTGTTTTATATAACCTGTAATCTTGCACAAGTCACATGATAATGTTAGTAACAAGATTATTCATCGGGAACGAGATTATAGCTTGTTTTTTTCGCAACTCTACAGATGATCTCTGCTTTACGATGGATACCCTTTTTAAATGGATACACAATTTAAAAATATGGTCCTTATAGAGCGAAAGGAAGACCACAGAATAAACACACACACCTTAGTATATTTGTTTTATCTTCTTCAGTTTTGTAAAGTACTTACGATAAGATTGTGACAATTGGATATTAATCCTTGTCATGGTTGATAGCCTATAAGGTCACCTAATTTTAGCTATTGAATTACTAAATTTTTTTTTATAACCTGCAAACAACGAAATGTTTTAAACTTCAGTGATAATATAATTTACAAAATCACTGATATTTTGATCTTTAAAATATATGCTTTAGTCACGCGGAAACAAGCTACAAACTTGAATTTTAGAGGTAACTATGCTACGTGGAATGAAAATTCTGTAACTATGGAAACTCAAGAACAATTCACAGAAAATACCACGGTAACACCAAGGAGTGACATTACACAATACTGGAGAAACTACCGCCGTAACACCAAGGAGTGACATTACACAATACTGGAGAAACTACCGCGGTAACACCAAGGAGTGACATTACACAATCATGGAGAAACTACCACGGTAACACCAAGGAGTGACATTACACAACCCTGGAGAAACTACCGCGGTAACACCAAGGAGTGACATTACACAATACTGGAGAAACTACCACGGTAACACCAAGGAGTGACATTACACAATCCTGGAGATACTACCACGGTAACACCAAGGAGTGACATTACACAATCATGAAGAAACTACCACGGTAACACCAAGGAGTGACATTACACAATCCTGGAGATACTACCACGGTAACACCAAGGAGTGACATTACACAATCCTGGAGAAACTACCACGGTAACACCGAAGCTGAATATGGACATTTTTAATTTGTTTTCGATTTTCCTCGTTTAAATCAATAGTGTTAGTGAGTGGGGATTCTTTTAGGAGAGAATCGAATTCTACAGAGACTAATCTTATAACACTGAAGTACAGAGAAAAGAAAGAATGTACCATTGACCATAACCAATCATTTATAATCTTATATTTTCCATCATCATGAATTTTATTAATTGATTCATAACGTGATATAACTCGAGATAAGAGCTCTACAAGATACTGTATCAAGTGGCGTTAGTTTGTTTTTTAATTTCGCGCAAGGCTACACGAGAGCTATCTGCGCTAGCCGTCACTAATTTAGCAGTGTAAGACTAGAGGGAAGGTAGCTAGTCATCACCACCCA